AAAAATAAATTACTTTCTTATTAAACTTAAATTAAATTATAATAAAAAATTAAATTAAAGAAATTATATATATTATATTATAAAATATTTGACAAAAACTCTTAAAAAAATATTTTTTATGCGTGAAGTACTGTTTATTGATGCATATTACTTAAAATTCAATATTACAAGTAAATTGTGCATAAGTACAACTTATTAAAGGTCCATGATTAAATTCGTGTAACTAACTACAGATAAACATAATCAAATACAAGATAAACATCTAATTTTTAAATATATAATATCTAAAATAAAATTATAATAATCATTGACTTCTAACAGAATATTTAATTATTATCTTTATAAAAAATTATATTGTTAAACCAATCTATACTATATTATGAATCATTTGACAAAAACTCTTAAGACAATTTTTTATACATGAAGTACTGTATATTGATGCATATACTCAAAATTTAAGATTACAAGTAAAGCATACCTAAGTACAACTTATTAAAGCTCCAAGTTTAAATTCGTGTAACTAACCACAGATAAACATAATCAAATAGAGGATAAACATATCATTTTAAAATATAAAAAAATATAAAATATAATTATGATAATTATCGAAATCTAACTAAATAATTAATTATTATCTTTATAAGAGAAATTATATTATTAAACCAAATATAAATTACTGCGTTATGAAAGTTAAATTAATTACAATAAAAAAATCGACTTAAAAAATTACACAAAAAATATGAATTTTAAATAGTTAATTTGATATTAATATCGATATATTTTTATCAAATTTTTATGATATTTTTAAATTTATATTTTATTAAAAAATAAAAACATCATCGCTTTTTCATAATCACATAAGACCATAGTATAATATCGACTGAGATAAATAACAAATGAAATATTAAAATCAAGATATATCTCGCTGCATTGCGCAAATACTCTTATAGTATAATAAAATAAATAAATCAAAAAATATTCAATATTGAACTCATTCTAAAGGTATCGATGAGACGATTATAATGATGTAACTTATTAAAATTAAAACGTATTTTTTAACATATTTTAGTTAGTATACGATTATATGTATTAATATGATAATAATGTAAAATAAAAAATATAAAACTAGAAGGTATAAAGTAAATAATCATATAAGTATAAGGGTTTAAATTATATATATATATATATATATATATATATCTATACTATCTTATTAAGCAAATTTAACAAAAGTCTTAAAGTCTTAAAATACTAAATAACCAAGATACCCTTTACACTACTTTTTCACTTTTTCACCCCTCATCTTCTCACATACACTCATCCCCTCACATACACTCACCCTCTCACAACCGATTTTTCTAAAATTATAGTTTTAAATTTACACTTTATACCCCTATAATTAGTTAATTAATTTACTTTACGTCCTTTACTTTTAAATATTTCATTTTAAACCTTTATCAAATTAACATATATAATCGTATATCAATTAGAACATGTTTAAAAAATATTTTTTTATTTTAACAAGTTACACCATTATAATCGTCTCGTTAATACCTTCGAAATGAGTCCAATATTGAATAGTTTTTGACTTAATTATATTATTATATATTATATATACTGTGAAAAAATATTTGTAATATTTACGATTTATACTTTTATAGTTATTTATTTATATATATACTATATATTTTGGGGTTAGGCTGTCCAAATTGCATTGTATAATATGTTCTTGGGTTTTTTTGAAATATATATATATATATATATATTAATTCAATCTTAATATGAGTTTCTGGACAAGAAAGAGGATAAACAGTTGAAATTTCATTCTAAAACCCATCTTTTTTGGTCTTTTCATGGCTTATGATCTGTCAAATTTGTAGTTTTCTTTATTGGTTTTGAGTGTTTTTCTTAAAACTAAATTTTTCTTGGTTCTTTGCTATTGGTGTAAATCGAACGTATTTGTAGAGTCGTTTAAATATGTTGAATTTTAAATATATTGGATTTTAAACTGTCATGCAATTTTTTTTCATCGATAGTCTGTAATTGGAACCATAACTCTTATTTATTAAAATTGTATTAATATGTAAAGACTAAGTATAACCTATATCATCGTTAAATTTTATCTTATAAAACCAATGAAACTTCAAAATCGTTAAAATTAATGATTTCCATCGCATTACACGAATACATAACTAATATTATTTAAATTATAAATGCGAGTTGTAGTGTTTAATAAGAGGGTCAAAAATAAACTAGGGAATAGGGATCGAAAAAGCATGACACTTTAGCAATTAAGATGCGATTTGACTCAAATGAAGATCCAAACGAAGAGCGTGTCCAGCCACGAACCTTGCGTGTTAGGCGTATGGATGCATGCGTCTGAGATGGAATTTTGGTAGGTACCATCAATATGTGGACACCAAGGCCATGCATGTCACGTGTAACCAGTGATGTGGCTCTTAACCTTTCCATGGGACCCATGGAGAAACCCACTCCCGAATAACCAAAAATTTAATCAAAATAATAATTACTCTTTGGGAAAAAAGGTTTTTCCGTACAAGATAATATCCGTTTTTAGATACAATTATGTTATAATCTACGATCATGTTGTAATTGTTTAAGATTTCATAATCTACGTTTTCAGTTCTGGATTATAATTTAATAACGATACTAAACTATTAATTATACATATAAAACATGTTTTTATATAAAATATATGTATTAAAATCAAATCTATTATATATATATATATATATATATATATATATATAGACGAATGATCATGTAAGATGTGTTTAATTATATATGATTAAACAGATATGTGTTGTTACTGCAACATGTGTTTAATCATATATGGTTAAGCAGATATGCATTGTTAATGCAACATGTGTTTAATTAAATATGATTAAACTTGTGTATCATACATGTAATCATATATGATATTGAAACTTCTCGTATTCTTACAAAATGTTTAGCTTCTCGTTTGAAACTGTCTTACATCTATCATTCAAATGGGTGAGATGACTTTGTAAAAATACAAGATATGTTCTCGAGTTTGATCCTAGCTCACGTTACCCTTAGTGGTTAAAGTGAGTCAAAAAGTTTCTACTTAAATTGATGTCCTTGAAGACGTGTTCAATGTACGACTAGATTATAGTTGTCAGTAATCAACTTTTGCTCAAATAATGTAACCAAAGTTTTTCCTCTACCAAAGTCGCAAATAATTAAGGAACATGGTACATGAACATTAATGATTATTCGTGTATTAAAAAATGATTGATGTTGGTATATGTAAGTGTAATGATAAGAAGGTTTATGCTAGTAATAAAAGGTTCATTTAGAATATGGTTAAGGGCTAATTGTATAAAAACGTAGCCTTTTGTATTTACGATTACTAAAGGGGTCGGATGACTTATTAAAATATAAGACAGTTTTTGGAAAAGTGTCGCTTTACCTTGGCGTCTTTGGAGACAGGTTCTATACGGGACTGGTTGGGATTGTCAGTCATCGATTTTTTTGCGAAAAGATTATATGAAAAGAGTAGGCTAATTCCACCTTTTACATTGTTAAATGCACTCCTATCTAGTGGTTTCCTTCTCACTCATATCAATATCAAAACTCAATTTTTACCGTCTCAATTCATAATTTAACTTGATTTTGATATTAAAAGAATTGTAAATAGCAATTTTTTGAAATAAATGTTGTTATATTTGATATACCAAAGTGAATGATTTAAAATTTCGTTATAAAGATAATTGGGCTTCGTTTACAAAACTAAGTAATAAACTAATTGTGAACTTATAAATGGTAATTGATAAGAATTAAAATAAAAGAGGTCAGCATTTTTCATCCAAAATTAACACTTTTTCCACCTACCCGCTGTGAGGTCATGTTTTGGGTACTAGGAATCTTGCTCCTTCAACCATTGAAGGAAGAAAGTAATGGTCCAAATTGTCCACTCTCTGCTTTTCATTTTTTATTATTATTACGGATAATTGTAATATATATTTATCAACGTTGAGAATTTATCAGTTAGATGTAGATTGAGTCTTCACCATACTCAATAACTCAAGGTGGGTTTCTTCAAGAATCAAAGTAAGAGGCAAACAGATAAAGAAAAGGTCTAAATTGATCATTGCACACAATCTGTTTGCTTTTTTGCATCAAAGAAATGAGTACAGAATGCTCCACACATGAACCTCTTCTTTCTTCTGGTAAACAAGAAGATGATGGTTTTAGTTATGTCAAGGACAAGAAGGCACAGTTTTTGGTCAAACTTACTAGATGGTTTCTCAAGTTTGCAATGTGTTCGATTTTCATTGCCTGGGTTAGTTTTTTGTTTTTGCTTCCATCAGAATCTGTGACTGAATGGTCTGACAATTATGTTGATGCTACTTCTGGATCGGTGTTATGGGTTTCAGGTTGGTAATGTTTTCAATTTGCAGTTTACATCTTCATTTATCAATCATGAATCCTCTAGATACCCATGTAAATTGAGAATTTTTATTGATTATATCTTAGTTAGTTATGTTAGCTGTTTAGAGAAAACCGAGAAAATATTTATAATTTTTAACAGACTTTTTTGCATCATAAAAATCTCCAAAGTTGGAGAACTCTCCAAAATTAGATGCTCAAGAGTGAAATATTTTTTTTATTGTTTGCACCAATGAAGTATATCTAATTATTATTTTAGGGTATTAAATCTATCAAAAATTTTAATAATATAATTATCGTTGAAATCTCCAAAATAGAATAATTTTTGGAGTGAGAATGTAATTTTTGTGTAGAGATTTTAACTTTTGTTTCAAAATTTTGGAGAAATTATAACATCACAAGTGTTTATGATCTACAGGAAGCATATTTCTTTTTGGTGGTCCAATATTCATCATTGCATTTCTTGCAATAATTTACCTGAGGATATCTGGAGAACAAGAGTTTCAAGAGTATGTCACTTGTTTCAAGGGTTCTTATCTTTTTGCAACTAGATGTCAATTGATTCTTTAAGCACTAATGTGATGATGAATGTGAATACTTTTGTGTAGGAAGAAGAAACCGAAACATGCAGCTTTTCGCTTATGGACATTCCCGGTTATTGTAGATGGACCATTTGGGGTTGTTACAGCAGCAGAGTTGATTGGAATTCTGTTGGTGGTTGTGTATATCATTTGGGCTGTTTCAGTTTATGCTATCCAGAATTACAACCTGATTCCCTACTTCGAGAGTCAAGGAAAAAGGTAAATTCTGTCTAGAAATGGTTCTTTCTACCTTCTTTGTTGGATATAACTTGGTGCTTGTTTGTGAATTATACAAACATTTTGTTGAGAACACTGATTCATTAACACATAATCACACACAAAGAGATGAGAGAAGACATCAGCACAAGAATTTAACGAGGTTCAGCCAAGACCTAGAGAATTTTCACTATGAATGTAGATGATCCATACAACCCTTTCCCAAGTTAGAATCACATAGAACACCAAGTGTTCCCTAAGGGGGCGTTTGGTATGCAAACGGGGCTGGACAATAATTGTGTAAGATTTTAGGGTTTTAATCTAACATGGTAATTTAGTAATTTACCAATCTTGCCCTGTCTTCTTGATTCTTGTTCCACCTATTTTGATAGGACAAAAAAGTGCATTTTTGTCCTCCTTAATGTCGCACCTAATAGGAAAACAAGTTTTTGTCATGTCTTGTCCAGTCTTAAGTGTTAGGTACAAGGACGAGAACAAACTGGATGGGTCAGAATTAGGGTAGGCGGGTGAAAGAATTATGGAAGGTTTTAGGTTTAAATATAGGACAAATTACATGGAAAAGTAACGTACTTTAACTTGATTCCTATTTTGGGTAACGTACTTTCAAAACTTTCATTTTGGTATCTAAGATGTAAAGTTTCAAACATTTAAGTACCCGGGTAAACCAGTGAAAGAATTATGGAAGGTTTTAGGTTTAAATATAGGACAAATTACATGAAAAAGTAACGTACTTTAACTTGATTCCTATTTTGGGTAACGTACTTTCAAAACTTTCATTTTGGTACCTATTGATAGAGCAAATTGCATGAAAAAGTAACGTACTTTAACTTGATTCCTATTTTGGGTAACGTACTTTCAAAACTTTCATTTTGGTACCTAAGATGTAAAGTTTCAAACATTTAAGTACCCGGGTAACCCAGTGAAGACTAATTTTAGACTAAAAAAAAGACTAATTTTAGATTAAAAAAATCCACGTTACTGACTAGGTCAACAAATAATACCAAGTTGGATACCACATCACTCGCTACATCAGTATGATAACCGGTTAATACTATAACCGTACTTCAACCAGTTACCCGGGCACTTAAATGTTTACAACTTTACATCTTAGGTACCAAAATAGAAGTTTTAAAAGTACGTTACCCAAAATAGGAATCAAGTTAAAGTACGTTACTTTTTCATGCAATTTGCCCTTAAATATAACATGGGTAGTTTTGTAATTTACCCATCTTGTTTAATCTCCCTTATTTTTGTTCTACCTATGTTGGTGGGACAAAAAAATGCATTTTGTCCCATTCTGTCCCATCTTGTCCAAGTCTAATGTGGCGCCAAACATGGGACAACAAGTTTTATTTTGTCATGTTACCAGACGCACCCTAAACCAACCAGAAGAAAAAGGGCTGACAGAGAACATAGAAAAGAATAATGTGTCAATTATCAGCTTTCGCCCTCTGCTACCAACACAGATTCCTACTCTTTCTCTGATTCGGGTTGCACCCCTAGCTTCTTGGGTCAGGTTTCATTTGAGATCCTCCCAAATTCAAGATACAATGCTAATTTATGGTTTAAGTAAGCTCTGGATATCATTTTCATGATAGTTTATATGAAGTAACAAGTTTAGAGTGGTTGAAAAGGCTTTTCTTTCTCATTAATCACAAAGGTATTTAAAGATGATTACAAGCACTAACCAAGGAGAGAAATATGCTACAG